GGGCGAGTCCGATTCGACTCGGCGTTTTTTTAAACACTGGTTCCCAACCATTTTTCGTCCTTTCAAAGACGGAAATATAAAGCAAGGCGGTCTGGAACTATTAATTTTAAACAAAAAAACGGTAGTACAATAAAAAAATATAAAACATGAAAAAAAGACAAATATAAAATATGAAATATGAGAGAGAATTTTTTAAAGGTAATTAACATAAAAAGCAATTTTTCTGAAACAAATTCCAATATTTTCATATTTTACCTTCCGGTTCTTTTTTTGTTATTCTTTAATTTTATTCAATAAACTCCTTGATCAAGTACTCGAATTCCCATAGAGAATGAGAATTTGGTCCGACACTTCAAGTATTAGATAGACTTTTCTATAATAATATCGGCAAGCACTTAAAGCGCATGGCCACGACTTCTTTAATGAGGCGGTCGAATGTTGAACTGAAATGATTTTAAAAACGTCCATCTAGTATACTAAAAATGGCTTCTCAAAACCCCCCCCGCCCCCCCTCCCCCCAACAAAAAAAAAACAAAAAAAATTTAGATCAGCACTGCACTGAATTAAGGGTATTTTGGATTTTTTTTAAAAAAAAAACTTTGATATGAAAGCATTGGGATTAATTTTATGGAATATGTAAGCTCTTTTAGATGTGCCTTTTTTTTAGACCTGCCCTTGGATAAGCACGAGCAGTCATTGATTATCTAAATCTATCTTTGCCAAAATCTTTTGAAATATTGTCTCATTACTTAACTAAATCCAGTTTTTAATAAAAATAAACTGCATACAAGAATAGGAAATAACATAAATAAATGATAAATACCTAAATTTAAATATTTTAAAAAGACTTTCATACCACAATATGCAAAATGAAATAAAAATTAAAAAATAAAAGTTAACATGAAAAGACAAATAGTGGCACTTAGAAAATGTTTCCCACATTTCATTTTTTTATTTTTCTAGCTAAAATTCCTCCAAATTCGAAATTATTATTTTCGAATGACTCTTTAGAATCAATTTAACTATTAGTTCCAATCCCCTCTTGTAATCTTGCAAAGCATTCCACAAGCATTAGTTCGAAACAATTTTTCTTCTTTACAAAGATGGAAATATAGAGCAAGGCGGTCTGAAATCTTTTGAAATATTGTCTCATTACTTAACTAAATCCAGTTTTTAATAAAAATAAACTACATCGAAGAATAGGAAATAACATAGATAAATGATAAATACTTAAATTTAAATATTTCAAAAAAACTTTCATACCAAAATATGCAAAATGAAATAAAATTTTAAAAATAAAAGTTAACATGAAAAGACAATTAGCAGCACTTAGAAAATGTTTCCCACATTTCATTTTTTTATTTTTCTTGCTAAAATCCCTCCAAATTCGGAACTATTATTTTTGAATGACTCTTTAGAATCAATTTAACTATGGAAAAAGATGTGATTAGCCCACTAGCTCATATGAACAATAAGCCCAACCTCCCAAATTGATTATGGGCCGATCTGACGATCACGGATATCCAGTAGTGTTTGAATTTTAGTTTTTTTTTTTTTCTACAAATTTAAATAACTTGAAACTTTATACGTATGTTTATAACAAATAGGTGAATCTTCGAAAAATATCAAAACAATATTTTACATGAAATAAATTAACAAAAATACCCCTAAAATATTTCAGGGGGTATTTTGATCATTTTTTTTTCAAATAATTTTTTTATATTTTTATTAGGTGCGCCTTGATGATAAAAGCACACACCTAAAATTTCAATTGATTTGAATCTGTAGATAAAAAATTAAAATTCAAGCACTACCGGACATCTGTGATCGTCAGATTGGCCCAGAGTCAATCTAGACCGTTGGGTTCATATGAGCTAGTGAGCTAATCCCATCTTCCCCTTTAACTATTAGATCCAATCCCCTCATGTAATCTGGCAAAGCATTCCACAAGCATTAGTTCGGAACCATTTTTGTTCCTTACAAAAATGGAAATATAGAGCAAGGTGGTCTGGAATTATTAATTTTAAATTAAAAAATGGCATTACAATAAAAATTAAAAACATGAAAAAAAGATAAATATAAAAGGTGAAATATGAGAGAGAATTTTCTAAAGGTAATTAAAATAAAAAATCAATTTTTCTGAAACAAAACCCAATATTTCCATATTTTATCTTTAGGTTTTATTTTTGTTATTTTTAAATTTTATCCAAAATACTCCATGATCTAGGTACTCGAATTCCTGAATTTGGTCGGACACTTGAAGTATCGGATAGACTTTCCTATAATAATATCGGTAAGAACTTAAAGCGCAAGACTACGACTTCTTTAATGCGGCGGTCGGATACTCCAAGCGTCATACTAGCAATAGGTAAAAACCAAGCCAGAGAGGTTGATCTGACGTTTGGACTGTCGAACTGAAATTATTATAAAGACGTCGATCTAGTATGCTAAAAAAAGCTTTTAAAAAAGGATTACGGGCCGAACATTCTTCCCCTAAAAAAAAAAGAGGGAATTTTAGACCGGCACTGCACCGAACTAAGGGTATTTTGGAATTTTTTTTAAAAAAAAAACTTTGAAATATATGAAAACATTGGGATTAATTTTTTGGAATATGTAAGCTCTTCTAGATGTGCCTTTTTTTAAACCTGCTTTTCGATAAGCACGAGCATTCATTCATTATCTAAATCTATCTCAGCCAAAATCTTTTGAAATATTTGTCTCATTACTTAACTAAATCCAGTTTTTAATAAAAATAAACTACATACAAGAATAGGAAATAGCATAAATAAATGATAAATACATAAATTTAAATATTTCAAAAAGACTTTCATACCAAAACATGCAAAGTGAAATAAAATTTCAAAAATAAAAGTTAACATTGAAAGACAATTAGCGGCACTTAGAAAATGTTTCCCACATTTCATTTTTTTATTTTTCTGGCTAAATATCCTCCAAATTCAAAACTACCATTTCTAGATGACTCTTTAGAATCAATTTAACTGTTAGTTCCAATCCCCTCATGTAATCGCGCAAAGCATTCCACAAGCATGGAATCATTTTTCTTCCTTACAAAGATGGAAATGTAGAGCAAGCCGGTCTAGAACTACTAATTTAAAATTTAAAAATTTGCATTACAATAAAAAATATAAAACATGGAAAAAAGACAAATATAAAATGTGAACTATGAGTGACAATTTTTTAAAGGTAATTAACATAAAAAATCAATTTTTCTGAAACAAATCCTAATATTTTCATATTTTATCTTCAGGTTCTTTTTTGTTATTTTTAATTTTATCCAAAAAACTCTATGATCAATTACTCGAATTCCCATACAGAATGAGAATTTGGTTGGACACTTGAAGTCTTGGAAAGACTTTTCTATAATAAGATCGGTAAGCACTTAAAGCGCAAGACCGCGATTTCTTTAATAAGGCGGTCGGATACCCCAAGTGCCTTACCAGCAATAGGTAACAACCAAACCAGTGGTTGATCCGATGCTTAGAATGTCGAACTGAAATTATTATAAAGACATCGATCTAGTATGCTAAAAAAAGCTTTTCAAAACAGATTTCGGGCCGAACATTCTTCCCCTCAAAAAAAAAAGAAAAAAGAATTTGAGAGCGGCATCGCACCGAACTATGGGTATTTTGGATAATTATTTTTAAAAAACTTTGAAATATATGAAAGCGTTGGGATTAATTTTTTGAAATATGTAAGCTCTTCTAGATGTACCTTTTTTTAGATCTGCTTATGGATAAGCACAAGCATTCATTCATTATCTAAATCTATCCTAGCTAAAATCTTTTGAAAATTAGCTAAATCTTGATTGTAATAATAATAAAATACATACAAGAATAGGCAATGACATTAATAAATGATAGATACTTAAATTTAAATATTTCGAAAAGACTTTCATACCAAACTATGCAAAATGAAATCAAATTTTAAAAATAAAAATAAACATAAAAAGACAATTAGTGGCACTTAGAAAATGTTTCCCACATTTCATTTTTTTTATTTTTCTGGCTAAAATTCCTTCAAATTCATAACTATTATTTTCGAATGACTCTTTAGAATCAATTTTACTATTAGTTCCAATCCCCTCATATACTATCGCAAAGCATTCCACAAGCATTAGTTCCGAACCACTTTTATTCCTTAAAAAGATGGAAATATAGAGCAAGGTGGTATGGAACTATTAATTTTAAATTTAAAACTGGCATTACAATAAAAAATATAAAACATGAAAAAAAGACAAGTATAAAATGTGAAATATAAAGAGAATTGTTTTAAGGTAATTAGCATACAAAATCACTTTTTTTGAAACAAATCCCAATATTTTCATATTTTATCTTCAGGTTCTTTTTTGGTTATTTTTTAATTTTATCCAAGAAACACCTTGATCAGGTACTCGAATCCCCACACAGAATGAGATTTTGGTCGGACTCTTGAAGTATCTAATAGACTTTCCTATAATAATATCGGTAAGCACTTAAGGAGCAAGACCGCGACTTCTTTAATAAGGTGATCGGATACTCCAAGCGCCATACCAGCAATAGATAAAAACCAAACCAAAGGTTGATCCAACGCTTGGAATGTCGAGCTAAAATTATTATAAAGAAGTGGATCTAGTAAGCTAAAAAGAGCTTTTCAAAAAAAATTTCGGGCCAAACATTCTTCTCCAAAAATAAAAAATAAAATTTTAGACCGGCACAATACTGAACTAAGGTTATTTTGGATAATTTTTTTTTAAAAACTTTGAAATATATGAAAGCATTGGGATTAATTTTTAATTCCAAAAAATAGTTGTTTTACGTTATTTACTCCCTTTTAAATACTATAGAGACGTAGCATAAATTTCCCAATTTTTATTTTTCTTTCACCCTCACTTCTGTCCCCCATAATTTTCTTTTATTAGTTTTGGACCGCCTATTTATATTCCCAATTTTTTTCTTAATTTTCCTTGATTCTCTCTCAAGTTTCTTCTCTTTCTCTCTTCCAAGTGTCCAAATTTTTGTTTTTCGATTCTCTCTCTGCTTTATGTTCGATTGCGGGCAAATTAGGCGAGAGAGAGTTCCAGGTCTCTATCGGCACTGTCCCTAAGGAGACCTCCCTTCGTCTTCATGTCTTTGTGAAGGTAGACTTAAACCCTCTCTTCTTCTTCAAGATCCGTGGAAAAACTGCAACTTTTTTCGTATTTTATATCTCTTGATCCTTTCATTCTACATTATCATCAGATTTTACTTCCTTAATGGCTTTTGAATCTGATAATTCTAGCTTCTGGGGTTTCAGCTCTGTATTTGTTGTGTTGTTTTTCTATTTGAATGAAACCGATTTTTTTTTTTGCTGCATGCAGATTTTCTTTGTTTCTATCTTTTTTTATTTTTTTTGAATTTTAACTGGAAATGACGGGTTCTGGTAGGTTTTTTGTTTCATTGAAAGTGGTTAGGATTAGGAGTTTCATTTGACTGTAAATGATTCGGGTCTGGTTTTTTTGTTGTACAAGAAGTCAGGTTTCTTCTTTTGACTTTGGATGATTAGGATTTGGTTGGTTTGTTTCATGGAAAACTGGGGCCTTTTTCGAATGAAAACTCCCCAAGGAATCAAAAAGAAGAAAAACTCGGGGTTTTACATTTGCTGAAGTAGCTAGATGTCGGATGAAGAATTAGCACCTGAAATGATCAATGTTTGGCCATTTGTTTTGTGAAAGTGGTACCTTTTTTCATTTGCATGTCTATGGGTAGGATCATAGTTTGAAATCTAGGGTTTCTGCTGGGATAAATTTTGCATCTTTTTTGGGCTTATTGCATTTGATGTTACAGGGTGATTGGTTTGGAGAAAATATGATGTCACAGTGTGTAGATCTCTCCTACTTTCTCATCGTCTATTGTTTGAATCATTGTTCTGTGGGTATTTGTTTTAGAGGCCTTCCTTTTTTTCTTATACAAACAGGCTTGGTTATCACCTATTCTCCATCGGAGAGTTGTAAATCACTGTAAATATTGGATACTTAGCTTCTCTGTACAGTTGGTTATGGAGAAAACCAACACCAATGTGTCCCTCGATGGGGGGCCTGTGGCTTTGAGGCGAAAACGTGCAGCTCGTTATGCTGCATACTTCTCTGGTTCAGCTCGAAGCCAACTGTCTCGCTCCAAATCTAAGGGAATTTATGGCAAACCATGCGAAAGAGAATCATTTAACAGTTGCATCCATGGATTGCGGTGCTCTTCTGTAAAATCCATTGTCAATAACTATGAAAATTTCCTAAAGAGTGGATTGCCCAGGCGCTTGATGTATTTGTCATATGGTGACTGGATTGACTTCCCTAAATTTGCCGCTAATTTGCTGATTGAGGCCTTCAAAGTTAGAAACTCTGCGATTGAAGTGATTCTTGATGGATGCCTTTACTTGGTGGACTTTCTTCACATGGTTCGAATCAATTTGGAATCTGGGGTTCAACAATCGGTTGCTTGGATTGATGAATTTGACAAATGCTTCTTCCCCAAACTCTTTTTTGATGGTTCTGTTCTACCCGCTTGCTTGGTTTGCAATGGCACCAGTGGCGAGAAGAATAGACATGGTGCTATGAATGAGAATCGGGGAATTGAGGTTAAAGTTGAGATTGGGATCAGTGGGGCCGATAGCTCGAAACCAGAAGACTGGGGTGAGGTCTCTATTTCACATGTGAAGGCAATTAAAGCACAGAAGAGTCTCCCATCTAATGAGCGCAGCGAACTTGAGCAAGACACTAGCACTACCAGAAACCCATCAGCTGATGCCAAAGAAGTTATCGCTGAAAATGGGGCAATCCCACCTATTGGATATGGAGAATCAAAGTCGCCTATCTCTGGAATCCAGAACAGCAGTAACCGATCTTCAGGTTCTAGGGAGATCATTAGAGAAAACGGGGCAAGCCCCCCTCTTGGATATGAAGAATCAAGGTTACCCGTCTCGGGAATCCAGAACGTGATGCCAATGGATTGTGGGTTGGGCCACGAAAAGCTTGTTCGTTTGGACAGAGGCTGCAATGACTATGACATGGTCCAGAATATGTTCGTTGCTGGGTTCGGTATGTTCTTGACTGCAAGCAATATAGTGGGGATTTACTGTAATTCACCGACGAGTAGCTCTGTGCAGGCTAGGTTGCAATCTTTTCAGAAGCAAATTGAGATCACAAAGAGCTATCGTGGCAATGCAAATGTCCGGCAAGCATGGCATGGTTCGTTTAAGCTGGGTGTTTCTGGGATCATGCTCCATGGATTTGGGTTTGGGCAAAGCGGGAAGCCCAGGAATGGAGTTGCTTATGGCATTGGCATCTATCTCTCCCCTGAGGACTGCTCTTACATCAGGTGTGCACCAATTGTTTTTGGTTCATCTCTTCTGCATTGATTTTTTGATCGAGATTGTATAAATGAAGAATAAATGGTTGTAATGATAATTGTAATTCATGCTTATTTGTCTGGAGAAAGTATATATTCGAATATGCTAGGCACAAACTGTTATACATTGGGATCATGGTCATCTCAAGAAATGATGGGCAGTAATTGAGTGAGAGTGGGACTCACCATAGGATGTCTTGGTCTTGATCACTTTCTCTTCATCACCATCCATCATTTCATCAGCCAATCATGAGCCCAATGGCCTATGGTTTTCCATATTCCCTCTGGATGGTTTTATACTCCCCCATTTGTACTTTGTTTTGATATTCTATTTGTCATGTCACATGGCTAGTTTATTTGTTGAAGTGTAACGCCTTTGCACTGTCACTTGCCTACTTACAGTGCAAACTATTGTGATGTTGACGAAAATGGTGTGCAACATATGGTGTTGTGCCGAATAATAATGGGTAACATGGAACAAGTCCAGCCAGGCGCTGAACAATTCCATCCTAGCAGTGAAAAGTTTGATAGTGGCGTAGATGATCTTCAGAACCCGAAGCATTATATAATATGGAGCACGCACATGAACACGCACATATATCCAGAGTATGTCGTCAGTTTCAAGGTGCCTCCAAATATACAAGGTAATTTGTTGTGTACTGTTGCAGTTGCACTAAGGGCCTGTTTGATAACTAGAAGGTAAATGTCCCTTGGAAATTGGAAGTTCTCGTTGCTGGGAAGAAAGAAGTTATTTAAGGAAGTTCTCAGTGTATGTTTGATAACCTGTTGGAATGTTAAAGAAGTTCTAGGTACTGTGTTTGGCAACCTTGGCATATAAAGTCATGTTTATTTAAATATTTTTAAAATATTATATATTAAATATGATTTAAATATGATTTTTATATTGTTTATATATTTTATTATATAGTAATTATATAATATATTTTATTATATAATGTATTGTAAGTATTGATTACATAAATAAAATATATTATATTACATATATATGTAATATGTTATATAAAACAAATATTGTATATTATATAATAAAAATATATATTATATTACATAAATCTATTATATATAATACAAATATATATTAAATATATTATATATTAATAACTTAAATATAAAATATATAACATAATATAATATATAATATAGTGTATTTCATATTTATTTTATTATAGAGTATATAATATATAATAAAGTAAATTATATTACATTATATTACATAAATATAGATACTATATCTAGTAAAAATATATATTAAGTGTATTTTATATTTTATTTTATAATATATTAGACATATATTATACAAGTATATTATATTCCATAAATATATTATATATAATACCAATGTATATTAAATATAT